AACATCTACAAGAAAACAAGAATCCATATACAAGAATCCTGTAGATGGGATAGAAGTCACTGCACAGCAAGGCTGATCTGAAGGCAGAACCTAATATATTAACTTTGCTCCTCTGTTTCTTAGGTACTGTATAATAAGCCAATGTTTGTGTCAATTTTATGCCATATGAATGAAACTTCACCTCTGTAAATAAAAAAAAACTAGCATTTCAATAATCAACACATTTTTGCCTTACAGTGTTGAAATGCTACAAACATTTGCATTTTAACTCTTAGTTCTTTAGTTTAGTTGAGTTCTTAGCAGGCATGACCTAATCTTTCAAATAATTATTTTTCATAACTCTAGAGCATAAAGTAAAGGGCGTTTTTGTATGGACTTCAACAATTCACCTCAGCATAAGAGTGCTTATAACAGCTCTTATGTACAGTAGCAACTACACAGTGACACAAATTATGATCAACAGGTAAAAAGGTGGCCTGTCAGACCACAGCAAGTTGAGATGTAAACCTTCATTTTTGTACAAAAACTCAGAGTTTTCCATGGTTTCTGAAATTCATCACACATTTAATAGATAATCAATAAACCAAAAACAAAACTCAAAGCTCCACAATCAATCAGAACAAGAAATGAAATAGTTCTGTACTTGATTGGAATCAGGGAAATACAGAAGAGCTATTGATAGTGAATCACTTAATCTGACAAAATGCTTTAAATAATTTGCCACTCACTTACAGTATTTCTCTTACTCAATGACACAAACAGAGATTACACACTGGAGCTCATACTGTAGCAAAGGCAAAATTAGTCCATAATCATTGGTTAGCTTCTTTTTTCATTTATGCTTAAATACGATATGAAGGCTGTCAGATCTCTATGCAGCAGCTCAGAAAAATGCCTAATGGGAGCGCAGTTTTGTTTAGTTCAAAACATTCCGGAGGATGAATAAGATTTATTATTTCTTCTCCAGTTGTAGCGCACTGTACCACTACTAGTACTTTATGTTAGTTTTTGTTAGTTTTGAAGATAAAAATCAACATTTTGTTAAAGGCTCTTGTGGATCATCTATTTTTTGTTCCTGCTGATTTAATTAGTCCAATTATTTGCTTATTTTATATAAGCTAACATACAGTCCAACTTTTTGGTCATTGATTATTTAAAGTGGTATATACTGTATAGGCTGCTTGACTATGGATCTCTGGGTCCAATATTTCTGACCCCTGTCTTAACAGCTATTTCACTGTTAAACCTCACAAAAACTAACTGTCCATTGCTTTTCCAAGACCCAGCAGTTTACCTTTTGACTTGATCTAATCATTCTTTTAATTTTTCTATTTTCCCTCCTTGCTTGTAATTTCAGATAGATTTTACCTGTACTTCTGCAACCATCTTTACAGCAAGAAACTACACTGTATGTTTGTTAATGTTTTCTTTTGTTTCTTGAGACTCAAGAATATTAGTGTTGTTACTGGAAATGTTTTAAATATTATATAACTGGTATGAAATATAAAAGAAAAAAAATAGAGTTGTTTCTGTTCAACACATGTGGTGTACCACAGGGCTCTGTTCTTGGCCCCACTCTTTTTAGAATCTGTGTTGCAATGAAACCTGTATTTTCAGTGTGTTCCAAGGACAAATGGCACACAGGACATGATTCCCAGGATGGTGAGCCCTCCTTTACTCATCCCCCTTTGTGTTGGGGGGTGACTGCAGATTAAAGTCACCCTTATCCCCTCTAATTTCCAATGCAACCCCTCTGAGGGCTCCATCAATGCTGCATGCACATAGCTGTATCATGACGACAGACAATGGTTATAACACAGAAATTGATGTTGTGATAATGTTCAAGGCATGTCTACCTTGTCGTTTATTGTCAAAATGAAGGCAGCAAAATCTTCTGCAGTTGAACTCTGAAAAGACTCTCCTTTTATTGATCTGTATGGTTGAGACCAAATCAGTAATTGTTAAACCCAGATCCAAATTTCTCTTCATAGGATAATAGATAAAACGGTCAATTAGGATAATAGATATTTATAGGATAAAGAGCAAATGATTGTTTCTGAGATACATACAGTCAAAATTAACCATGCCTTTTGGATAGGCAACAGAATGAAACAGCAAGACATGCTTTTTAGGCATTTTAGTTTTCTGTGAAGCATGATGTATTGGTTAAAAGTGTGCTGATCCATATCCGAAAAGGTGGCAGAGCACACTCACTTCCATCTTCAACATGTTTCTTTTTTTTTTAATTCCAGTGGCTTTCAAAAGACGTATTCTGACATGGTTAAAGAAGCAGCATTACTTACTGTACAAGCTATTTGTATTTGTTGACTGGGTGGTTTTCCCATTTTCCTTTTTGTTTCCCTTTTTCTGTTTACATCCATTTTTTTTGCTTAAGGCAGCTTTGCAGATCATGTATATTACATAAGTGCCCACCATCATTGAAAATGGTAGTCTCAAGACGGCAGTCTCGTAGCTAACTGACAGTTGGCTCTATTGTTTCTTACCACTGTCATGTTGCATTCTATCATCTCCAATTTTGATTTTTTCAATACAAATTACTTTGTCTACGGATTGCAATACAGTACTTTTGATGAGTGTAGCGAAAGGAATAATAGAATACACTAAATTTCTGCGCTAAGCAACGTTTTGGAACTTAGCTTGGGTTTGTGTGAACAGATAAAAAACTGATAACTTGCAAAATCATCCAGAAGCTTCAAATCACATTAACCCATCCCACTCCTTGATTTCTCAGTCTACTAAATTATATATCTGTCTCTGTTGGGAAGCTCGAGTTTTTCTCTATTACTGTCCAGGACAAAATTGCTTCTTTTAGCTGCCAATGTTATTACAGTGTCCAACCTTTAAACATAGATATGTAACATATAGTAAATAGCAAACGTAACATACAGTATATGTGCATCTTCTTTTTTAATTGGTCCAAGTAGTCAGTTGCGTCAGCATGCATAGACTGCAAAGGAACAGGTACAGGAACAGGAACACCTGAAGAAAGCTCCACAGCTGAAATGTTGTCTCCTTTCTTTTCCTTTCAGCATGGAACAAAGCTTAACTAGATCTTTTTGAACTGCCTAGTTTACTTCCTTCTAAAAATCATGGAAACAATAGCACACTGGAGCAAAAAAATAAATAGACTTTTATCAATCAGGCTAAAATGTAATGATCAAGAAAGATGTCTTTGCAATGACAATCAAATAACTGGTTCTACGCTCTATTTACTTTAAGATACTGGAGGATGTGCAGTCAAAAAAGCCATTTGTTCTTGAAGAATCATAGAATGCAAACAGCGGTCAATGGCAATGAAAAAAACACTATATCAAATATTCACATGAGATAACATAATGAATACAACCAAGTGATATTGGTTGAGTATACTGACCAAATGATGCTGTATGTTAAAAGGTGAAGGTGAACAGGGAAACATGGAAGTTATCACAGTGCAGGAAGTGTGCAGATTAGCATGTTCAGAATTACACTTACAGATTAAGGTTTTTGTTCTTGAGCAACATGTCGTCATTCAGGATCCTATTCTTACACAAAGAGTGTGAAAGAAAACTAGACACAGTATAACTGCTTAAGGCAATTTACTGTACTGACTTAACAAAAATTACGAAAGATCTGAAAATTTACACTTCAGTTGTGAAATTACAAACGTTTAAAACTTTACAAAAACTAAAAACTATAAAAAAAACCACAAACGTGGTCACAATGATTTCTAAAGATTATGCTTTCCAATATATGTTATAAAAAATGTTAAAAATGTTAGGCATTTGTCTAAAATTATTATGTATATAAAGTACATCATTCTTATTTATGTGAAAATTTAAAATGTCACAATTTCAAACACCTGTTTGAAAAAATGCAAAAGCCTTCTTTGTTGTTAAGGTATATTATGTAACAGAACACACAACAATGCATTCATTTCATCTTAAAAATAAAGAATATTAAAAAGCTAATTGCCTTTCCCTCTAGTTCAAATGAAGCCATCCTTTTCCACTAATATGTCAAATACGTACCACTAATAAAAAAAAATTGATCCACTAATATGCATGTCACATTTGCCACCTAGTGGACAACTAGAGTATGACAACTAGACTAGTAGGACAACTAGACACCTGAAGAAGGCTCCACGGCCGAAACGTTGTGTTCTCTTTCTTCTTTTTTTCAGCATGGAATAAACCTATTACTTGTTCCTTTGCAGCCTACGCATGCTGGCGCAGCTACCCACCTAGAGTATCTATATGTACTGTACCTCTTTTTGCCAATGAAGCAAAAAACCTTTATTGAAGCGAAAAGTTATTTTTTGCTGCTATATATTAATACAATTATATAGAAAAAAAACAATATATATATATAATAATTCTAAAAATAAGTATCTAAGGTTAAATCTAATTCATAAGTATTAGGTGCATTTAACCATTTTAAATTAAAGTGATAAGCAAATCTAAATCAAATGATATATTATCATTTGATTCACACCTGAAGAAGGCTCCACGACCGAAACGTTGTGTTCTCTTTCTTCTTTTTTTCAGCATGGAATAAACCTATTACTTGATATATTATCATTACATTACAATACTTTAATAATTTGAATGACAGAATTAATTTTGAACAGGAAACAGATTCAAATTAATTATGCATTGCAAGCAAATGATACTCACAGTAGCTACTTAATTCAAACAGTAGTTAGAGGTTAAGCTTCTACATGGCATCAAGAAGAACTTTTTCACAAAAACAATTAAAAAACACAAACATTAACTACCACAGATCAACTTCACAGATGTGGACAAGCATTGATTTCAGTCTACACTAACAGTACCAGTAAAATACTGCTGCTTAAAAAAACAATCCCTTATGAGTTTTTTTATTAGCTTTTAAAATTTGATATTTTAAATCCACACTGAAGACAACAGCAAAAATTGTGATTTTAATTTATTAAACATAAAACAATTGTAGACAAATAATGCAAATACTGTATAAATACATCCATTACATTGTACATGCATAAAAATATTAAGTAAAAACTTTACATTTTTGTTAAATTACAGTCTGAATAAGTGAACTATTTATTCAGTATTAATTTAATTGATCTTACTTTTCCCTCCCTGTATTCACAAATAATGATTTCACTATATATTACAAGATACATACTTTGATAATCTATAAAACTATCCTTCAAAAATGGAATACTTAAATGGAAATTAAAACAAATGAAATGTACATAGTGAAATGCTAAAGGGCCTTTTATGTACCAAATAAAGCTTGACATGGTAAACTGTTTATGACTTAACAAAAGCACACGTTAGAAACTGAAATAACAGTGTTAACAGTATTTCTAACATTATTTTGGAAGATCAGATTGATCAAAAAGACCTCACCTGTTTACTTGAAAAAAACACTTTCTGAAAGTGGGAGAATTCAATATTTATTCAATAAAGAATAGAAGAGTCCTGGTGCCCAAGATTAAGATTATAAGACTTAAAGCAGTGTATTGTTTAATTGTTAAAACCAACCTTTTCCACATTCACAGACTTCTACAGAAAAAAAGATTGTAAAAGGACTAGAATGCCTTAAGGGACAGTGAAGAATTTCTACAAGTTACTGTATTTCACAAAAGGTGAAGCACATAAAATAAATCAAAGGGTAAAAATACCTTCATGATTTATAAATAATCTCTAGGTTCTAGCAAATAGGCTACATACAGTATACTAGTTTTGCAGATCTTATACTGCATCCGTTTACAGGTTTGTGAACCATCACAACCAAGTAATATTGACCAAATCAACTATACAAAATACTGTGATTTTTACACCTTCTGTTTTTAAATTCAGTGTGAAAAATCTCCAGTTTTTCATGAAGACATTTTAACAGATATGCAAGTATCTGTTTCAATGCACAGGAAAAGTGTCAAAAAGAAATACTATATATTTCATTGTGTTTTTAGTGTTATACCCATTCCTAAAACAAGAAGAGGAATGAATTAAATATAACAATGCACAATATGTATGTATTGTACAGTATATGTTGATCAGAAAGGATGGAAAAAAATCCATGTTACTAATGTAATTGTTTTCCAAGACTGGTTTTAGGAAAGGACACTAAAAACAAAATCACCTGTAACTAACTTTCCATGTGTGCATTTGTGTGTAGGTTTTTCTTTATATACTAAACTTCACACTTATAATTCTTATATCAACTGACAGAGCACCATAGAAAGTTTTCCCCAGATAGTTTAACAAGCCCAACATAAAATATCATTCAGCTTCTTTGATTCGTCAGAGTTAGGAATTGCCCATTGTTTGTTGAAATATTGAATTTCAATTTTTCCAGACTGTTTTGCCAGTGAGATCCCTGAAAATGTATTGGGTTTTCCTGGGTCACCAAAAACAGCAAAGGCAGTAATCCTGAAAAAAAAAGATCAGATTAGTTTACATTTTGCACACAGTATAAATGGCATTAACATTGCACCTGACTACAAGTTCAATTTGAAGGGTCACAGATTACACCTCACCATAAGAATACCTACAGCAAAGATTAAACAAAGCAGAAAATGTGTTTGATAGATTTATGATCTGTCTTGTACAGTTATTCAGAAACATGAAGATATGGATATGGATCAGTAGCAAATGCTATGCTAGAGAACGTGTCTTTGAGAATGATGGATATACTAGAACATCTCTGTGCTTGGTGAATCTGAAAGGATCTGTACTGCATATCGGAACAAGCAAGCTTAGCTGGAAGCCCAAAGGAACATGAAAACAAAAAAACATGTAGTATGGTTCTACAAAAGTAAACAATTTAGTAGGTTTTGTGGAGAGCTACTCTCTCATTGCAGTACCCTTACTGAAATTAAAAGTGAATTAACAATTACAATGAAATATTAAAAATATTGAAAATACTTAAACCTTAGTTAATGGACAAAATAATAAGTAACATTTTAACATACTGTTTAAAGGCCAGATCTTGAAAGAAACAGTCCTGCGTGTTTTTTAAAGTATCTCTAAACTCTCTACTCATTAAAGCCTTACAAAAAGCAAAAAACAACCCTGTCAAGCATAGGCATAAGTCAAATTACTCAGAGCTCATAGCAAAATAAATCCTCACAGACCTGCAGGGCTGAAGGTTTTGCATCATGCACTAAGCTAACATGCCATGCTAAGACAGCTTAAAGAACAAGAGATAAACACTCTGTTGGTTATCTGTTCAAGAAAACTCCCCTCATCCCTCAAATTAAAGTTCAATCATCAAGAAGTCTTTCTTCCTAAGTTTCCAGTTGTCTCACCTATCAGATTGATTTTTTTCTTTAAGCAATGGTTGAGAACTGTTCTTCATTAAATCCCAAGCATAAATATTAGAGGTTGCATCCAAAACAAAAAATACTGTTGGTCTTGTTACAGCCCATTGCACAGAGATAACAGGCTCTCCATTGGTGCTGCAGTTCCATTCCATAACAGGGTATTCAGTCCTCACTGAATGCATTCTTATAGTTCCATCAGCACATCCAACCTAAAAAAACATAATGAAAGATCATCCAAAACAGTAGTTCTGATTTTACAAAAATATACATTGAAAAAATTATATTTACTTAGGGTAGAAAATAACCATTAACTTTAATTTCAGAGCACTCAATTTATGTATTTGATTCAACCATAACTTTTGATTATATTAAGCAATAGGAACCATGTATTTCCTACCCATGGTTGATGTGAACAGCATTAATTGAAACCTATTACAGCATTCAGACAGGCGTTAGGTCAGCAAACATTAAAATATTCCTAAAGCAGGGCATGACTCAAACCAATTTAAAATACATAATTAAAAAAAAGTTAAATTAACAGTTCAATAAGCATAGTAAATTAATAGGTCAGTTGGAATAAAAACTAAAAGACACAGAGGTTCTCAGGAAGGGGGCTAAAAAAGGAATATATTCATTATACATGCACATTAGAGAAATCAATACACACTCCTAGCACACTATAGGGTACTTATGCAAAAATATTTTCTATATGTCACACCAGGGTGTTTTCCTGATAAAATCAGTCTATAAATCCACCTAAATGATGACACTATTTCAACACATCTTATAATTTATTTAAATGGCCAAATTCTGTCACTTCAAAACTAAAGCAACATTTTAAATGCCAAAACTAAATATTTACTTCACTTGGTAATGTTAAGTAGAGTTTGTAGCACTTCTAAATCCCTTTCAAGTCACTGATGTATTTGCTAATTAGTTCCACTTCTATCATTTTGTGTGCCACAATCATGATCCTCTTTCTTGCACTAATTCCATCATCTGCCACTTGAAAACACTCATTTAAGGTTTCTAGCATTCTAGACAAGGCTAAATCCCTCTTAACTCTTGCAAAGAGATTCAAAGAAAATCTTGTGAAACTCACTAAACTAAACAAGGTATCAGGAGCACATTTTCATATCAAGTAATAGGTTTATTCCATGCTGAAAAAAAGAAGAAAGAGAACACAACGTTTCGGCCGTGGAGCCTTCTTCAGGTGTGAGCAACCTTGCTCACAC